GAGCACATTGGAGGAGGCAGACCTGGCGAGGAGCTGTCCAGTGTTGCTTTAGTGACATATAGAGGTCTGAGAGATAAAGGACAGGACAGGAGCAGAACAAATATTTTGAAATCAAGCAGTGATTACCCTGAAGTTTGCAGTTGTGTTGCTATTTTTACACAGGGGGCTGTTTGCACTGGGAGATTATTCACAGTTCCCTGGTGCAGAGACTCAGGCAGTGGGAGAAGAATTATATTATCAGGGGTTTATTTTATTTTGTACCTTTTTTTTTTTTTTTAATTGAGGACAGAACATACACTGCAGCAGAAAGGTTCAGCTTAGAATGGCTGAAAGAAGGGACGGACACAGAAAAAAAGTAGCATTTATTACTCAATTCTGGGATGCTAACTCAGCCTGGCTTAGGAAGGGCAGTGTCTGCATTTTAACAAAATACTTTTTCCCCCCCCCTCCATCCTGTCATTCCCAAAATAGCCTCTCACAATCTCAGTATTCCTACAGGGATATTAATAGTGAATTTTCATTTATGTTATGGGAGGAGGTAAACAACCGAATAAGATCTGCACCATAACATGTGAGGAGCTAGACATGCTGGGTATTAAGAGACTGCCCAAGGAGCTTAATATGTGAAAAGAAAAAGTAAATAATAAATATAAAAGGAAAAAACCCTTTGCACTTACTTATAGCTGGGTAAATGAAAGTTGAGTGATTCACCCAAGGCTATAGAGGTAGTGTGTGGCATTGCTGGGACATAAAGCTAGTTTTTCCATCTTAGGGCAACACCCTTCATATGATCAAGCAGATGCTTCATTTTTTTTCTCCTAGATGTTTCTGCTTGGCTATTTCCCAGGCAGGATGGTTTACAGAAGCAGAAATCCCAGTAATTTTCCTATTACTCTCTCATGAAGGGACACCTGTCAGTCAGAGCTGCCTTCCCCATCTGCTGTCCAGCATGGTGGGGGGGAGACAGCCCCAGCAGCCCTCCCGACTGTAACCCTTCCATGTTGCGGTCACTCCCGTGCTCAGTCTGGCTGTAGCTCCAGCAGCCCGGTGAGTGGGCACACAGGGCCTGGGATGGCAGATGCCTGCGGTCATGCTGGTACCACCCAGCCCTGGTGCTGGTAGGGCTGCCTGGTGGGGTATCTCTCTATGCCCTGCTGAGCTGAGTCAGCCCTAGCACAAAGCTCTCTCACTCCTGAGGAGGAGAGGGCAGAGAAGGCTCTAGTGTAGCTGTTCGGACACCTGGTGTGGGGAGCTTTAGCTCTTCCCCTGGAGGGCTGTCCCCGTGACACTGGGGAAATCCATTCCTGAAGGGCCATGACCTGTCTCCCAACCCCACCTCCTGGTCAGAGTTCAGCCCCTCTCCCCAGCCACAACAGGTAGGGAAAGTCATCTTCCTCTGTGGCCTCCTAGGAGGAAGTTGGTCTTCACCAGCTATGGCAGTTACCTAATTATTGGATATGCTCATGCAAATGCACCCCAGTCTCCCAGGAAAACCCATTCAGGCACCAAGTTTTTCCCAAACTTTTGTGCAGAGAGAACAGACATGGCCTGACAGGTAGAAAAGCATTGGGAACAGATGCTCCTCAGGCTTTCTCTTGCTTCTGTCATGGCCTGGCCTGGGTAAGTCATGCTACCTCACCCAGCAGGAGTAGCTCGGTTAGTCACAAGGTGAGATACATCAATGACTTGTAAATGGTTCTGAACTCTCGGAGTAAATGAAAATTAGGTGATGGAAGATGCTGGAAAGTTTGGGAATGTGGGAGAGCTCCCAATCAGAGTCTTTTTTAACCTGTCCTGCACATACACGTGCCACACCGCTGGGAAAGGACAAAGCCCTTCTCCTTCCCCAGCTAGTCTGCACCAACTTCAGGGTGCAACTCAAGCTGTCATCTCACTGATGAGGACCATGGTGGTTTTTTTGCTTTTGTTATTTTTCATCTTGGAGTGTTCAGCCCACATATTTGAGCTTTTCCCTCACAACTTTCTTACAAACAGATATAGTGAGAGGCAACAAACTGAGCTGCCTCCTTTCTCCAGAAGGAGAGGGATGGATAGAGGTGGGCATTTCAGACTAAGCCTACTACACTTGTTGAAAAAACTTCCCTTTAAATATATGTGTGGAGTTCAAATCTATCTTCAGCTAAACCTTTGAATGAAAAATAAGTTGACAGCCTCATTCCACCCATCTGATGCACAGGCAGCACACCCCACATGGATGAGCTGGGGATTTGGGGGAGAAGCAGTGGAGGGATTCCCATTAAGGAAACCCCGCTCACTGTCTGCTTGGGTAAGATGCGGGGGAAGGCTCCTCTGCTTCCCAGCGATATGAACATGAGATCAGTTGCCTCATGGTTGCATAACTCCCTCACTCATTTGGGAATTCATGCGTTATTCCCATTTAGAGCCACTAAGAAGAGACTTGATCTTTTGGGGGATGGGGCTGAGAAGTGCAGCTGAGCCATGTAGTTGGACTGTGTTCCCAACCATCCATCTGGCACTTCATGGAAACTCTTCTCTCTTCCAGGTTTCCTCTTCTAGGGAAATGGCTGCTTCACCTGAGCCTGGGGGTGGGAGTGAGTTAGCAAGTGTGCTGTGTGAGCCACCCTGGGAAATGGGGCCACAACACAGGAACTGAATGGATTTGACCTTTTAGCACAACATGGCTGCAATGTCAGCACGCTGGTAAAGAGTAGAAGACCAGCGTAGAAGACCAGCTATTTCTGGAAAACTAATCTTGCCCTTCCAACCTCCCTCTAGTCTGCTCCTTGGCAACAGAGGGTGGGTGAGATGGACCTGGTTTTAGAGTATGGCAGTTTATCAACATTTGCAGTTGTGCTACATTTGTATCTACACAATCAGAGCTTTGGAAGTACACTAATTTACTACAAGCTCTCTTCCCAAACCAAAATAGGCTCTTGCCTCCTCTTTATGTTTTAGTTGTGATGGCTCATCAAGCTAATGGTGGTGCAGACTGCTCTAAGGGAGTTGTCACAGAGTGGCAGAGCTGGAAGGCACCTGTATTGCTTTATCTAATCTATCCGTCTAGCTGGAGCAGAGTCAACCATAACCAACGTCATTCTAGACAGATGCCAATTCAACCTTTTTAAAGGCTTTGCCAATATCCATTACCCCACAATCTCCTTTTCACAGAGGACCTCCTTGTGCTGCAGGGAGCAAGTGTAATGGTTCAGCACTGGCCACACTCATGTCCTCAAATGGAGAATCTGGTTGGGCCTGGCCAAGGTCCATGGTCACACCACATAAAGTGGACTTCCATGCATTGGATTGTTAATCCTGGCAGGCAACAACCAGCTTCCATGTTAGCCCAGATTCATTAAAGCAAGTGTAGGTTGAACCTGCACCGCAGAGCTGTTAGTGTTGTGGGCAATATAACTATGAGAGGAAAAGACACAGGTACCTACATTACTTCTTTTGAAAACTCTCTTGGAATCATGAAAACAAAATGGGGGTGTAAAGGCGCCGAAGAGAAATACAGTTATGGAAGACAGCTTCAAGGAAGACTTGCAATAGAGCGTTGAGGTATAGGATGACTCTTAGCAAGCACCAGGACTAAGATTTCTATTGGCCTTGATGACAATAAGCCTCTAGCTGACAATGCAGGCTGCTGTCATGCTCTGATATAGCTACAGGGACAGTGGCACCATGCCAGCTGGGTGTTTTATTCATACTTTGCTACTTCTATAAAGATAGGCTCAAGTGACTCATATGTCACTGACCACATACCACACATTTAAAGTAATTGTCATGGATTTGATTTCTGGGGGTTAGGTTGTTGTTGTTTTCTTTCTTCCTTTTTTTTTTTTTAATATTAATTCCGTTCCCTCTACTCTCATCAATTTAATTACAGCTATGTAATCTGTAGATCTGTAAGGCTCTAGCATGAGGTCTCTGGCTATCAAGTTTCCATATTCACAATTAGCAAATGGAGACAAGAAGAGCAGCACTGGAAGAAAGGGTTTTAATTTAAGATCCTTAAGAGGATCTGTGATCCTGTTGTCTCATCACTAATAGGAGGGACATGGATGAGGAAGGTTTTAGGTTTCAAGCCCAAGTTTCAGGACACTTAAATCAGTATGAAAACCAGACTTTGTTGGACTTTCTAGAGGTAGAAAAATGGTAAGAATTAGGAGCATTTTAAGCCACCTTCTGTAGTGTTCAAGAAACATTGAAAAACAGTGATGTCTTGTTGATCTTAACTGAGAAGTTCTCATTTCCCGTCAAATGTCACTGAACACTGACCTTTGAGCAACACAAGCCTGAAATTACTGAAATTAATTTCTTCACATTCTGATTATCAGCAAATGTTTTCTCCCTCTTTTCTCACCCCTATCATGTCATAATACCATCACAGACATCTCTCTTGAACTTTGCACTTGCTCCTAGACAGATCCTCACAGAGGGCAAGGGCCTTAGGCACAGACAAGTGGAAGACAAGAGCCTCAGAAAAATACAGCATGTCACCTATGGCGCTTCCCCCAGTACTTCTACACTGCACTGATGTGTGGAGAGTGCAAGCACATTAAATACAGGGCATACTGATTAGCAACTTCACCCAGAAACTTGCTGACATGCTTTTGAGTTCAGTATTGGTCTATCATACTTTCCATGCCATGTATGAAATGGTATGTCTCATACCACACTCCTGCAATGGTAGCTAAGGCATGTTCAACATAGTGTTGTGTCATTTTAGGATGAACTCAAAGTATAGATTCAGAATGGTACCAACCCAGAATTAAGAACAGTAGAGGTGGCGTTTTGGGAAAAGATTTCAATTAAGCGATTGGATACAGCTCATGAACATTTTCCATTTCTAGAACAGATATGCAGACATGAGGAATTCCCTACCATAAATCCCTTCTTCTCCCCTTTCTTTTGAGTGAAATTTTTTTTCATAATTTTGTCAAAGGGCAGTAGAGTGAAAGGTAGTAAATATTTTACACTTATTTCTCAAGGAAAACACTGTACCTGTTAAAACATACCAATCTCCAAGGATCTTGCCTCTGTCACAGGATTTTCACTGCCATCTCAGATGCTATGGAGCATCTTGCTCATGTCCTGTGCTGTACCACAGCAACAAGTTGTCAGGGAAAGAGAGAGCTGATGTCTACACACCTCCCTTGCAGACAACCAGTCAGGCACCCCAAGATGGTAGTTGTGTCCAGTCAGACCTGAAAGTAAAAAATGAGAGAATTCAAAATTTGCAGCTATGGTGAGAAGGGCAAGCATATATAGGTGACGCTATGCTTTAATTATCACATTGGAAAAATTCTACATTGTTCCAAACTGTTCTTGCTGCAGCCACAACTGAGACCTTCTGTGGGCTGTATCCCTGTGCAGGTGGTCTCATGGTGAGACTTTGAATTGCCCACAGATGCAGGGAAAAAAGAAATGGAATAAGAGCATGTGGTACATCGGGAAAAACATCAGACCTTCTCACTGTGCTTAAACATGGGACAGATGCAGTACCTGAAGCAAGTAATTTCTGTGTAATTCCCCCCTCAGTGATGATGTTCCATTATAGAAATTAAGGATAATGCAGATAGCCAGAAGCATGAATCTCCTAGTCCAGCATTGTAAATGGCAGTCTCCTAAAAACGCAGGTGAAGGTCTGGAGGCTTGCAGCTTACATGTCCCTCCACCCTAATGTGGTACCAAAGATGATTAGAAGATGGAGGATGCTGTTGCATGTTTGATACTGCAGTGGTTTGGCACTGCGGGGTTGGGAAAAGAAGGAAACCTGACTTGAAGGTTAAAGTCAAAACTGAGAATCCCACCTCCTAATTTCTTTTCCAGGAATTGTCTGTTAGGTGGCTTTACACAAGTCCCCCCTGTGGTTCACTGCCCCTCCTTTTATAAGAGGGTTAGTTACTCTGGCTGTCTCCTAGGTGGGTGTACCTGAGACTGAGTGAAGCAGTGGCTGCAAAGGGCTTTAGGAACCTTAGTTAAGGCATGAGGGTAGCAAAATATTAACTGTTTGGTAGTAGACATGCAATAGACTCCCTTCTGGATATTTACCAGGAAAGCAAAGGGGAAAATGACTCCTAGAGCTTCTCCCTGTTGTTTTCCTTTAGACTTCTGCTGCCTGTATCTTGTTTCTGCTTCACAAGGGAAATTTCTTCAGATCTGTCATACAGGCAGAAAACTCCTGGACCAGGATTGTGGGGGGTTTTTTTGGGTGGAGACAACTGCAGATAGGTACTAAGCCTGTACATTTTAATCTCCCTATCTGGCTAAATTGAATACATATATAGCACACAAAATGTGCTGCAAAGTAGAAACTAGAAGGCTGGCTTTGTTGGGTAGGAGAGAGTTAATCCCTATGGGGTGCTCATGTACGTCAGAGCAGGTTCCTGTCTGTGCAGTGCTCAGCTAGGATTGAGAGCTTTTGTTCCTTGTTGTTTTTCATGATTTCTTTGCATTTAATAGTGTTTGGATTTTTAAAAATACATTTTAAAGAGCATTTCAAGCTGGCAAATCGGGGGGGGGGGGGGGGGCAGTCTGAGAACCCTGTACACTGCAGTCCCTAAGATATTAACGAACATCACAGACACAGGCAGGACAATTCCCCACCATGGCCATGGCTTGCCTTTAGTGCCTGTGCCACACCCTGCAGGGGCAAGGTTCCAGTTCATCTCCCATCACCTTCCAGGAGTCTGAGCAGGGACTAACAAATGGTGGTGGGACTAGGGGTGGTGATGCTTGCACCACCTCTCCAGCTCTGTCGTCCCTGTAGATCTTCAAACAGGGAGCTGTTACCTGTCTCAGCGGGACTGTGACCATCAGATGAGAAACCCCAATGTTTCACTCCCAGGTTCTGAGTCAAGCCCAGCTCTAAGCGTGACTCTCCTGTTTGATTTTTGACTGAATTTGAAACAGTTTGGAAGAAAGTGGTGTCATTGTTCTCCGAGCATGAATCCAGCCCGAAAGGTTTGAAACTGACAGAGCCTGAGGTGATTTCTGTTCTGAATTACAGACGTTTCAGGACAGATGCAGTGCTGGATAACAATGTCTCTGCCCCCTCCAGAGGCAGGAAAGGTGAGCAGGGAACTCCCTGCCAGTGGGCTGTCCCCTGGGCTCTGGGAAGAGAGGCTGCTGTGAGATGCTGGAGGGCACGCAGAGGTGAGGGACTGAGCTGGTAAAGGAGCTGGGGAGGGTCAGCTTGAAAGCAACGATCGTGACATTCGTGAAATATATAAAGATTAGCCCAGCTGTGACTAAAGTTTTGGTCAAAAAAACAACCTACAGTGAAAGAAGATGGAATCGCAAACCGCAGCCCAAAGGGCGGATCAGCGTGAGGCTGCACAAAGGAGCGTTCCGTGGGCTGGTGGGATCGCCCGGAGAAACCTCCCGACAGGCAAACCCTTCCCTTACAGAATCTAGAGCTGAAGTGGGTAAACCCTCAGAAATGCAGGGCTGGGCACCACCTGCCCAGGAGGGGATCGCCGGTAACACCGCTCCGCCCCCGTGTTTCCACTCCCGGCACCCGCATCCCTCGGGTTTCAGACTGTGTGGGCGGAAGGGAAGGTTCCCCCTCAGCCCCCGGGGCGTTGCGGTGCCAGCGGGGGAGCCGGGCCGCCCCCGGGGCCGTTCTCCGGGCGGGGAGGCGGGAACGAGCGGGAGGTTTCGCCGCAGCCGGAGCTGTCCCCGGGGCCGGGGGTTTCCAGCGGGGCCACCAGGGAAGTGCGGGCGGCCCCGCGCAGAGGGGCGCTCAGAAACACCCCCGCAAAGCCTGCTGCTCCTACAGCGCTGCCACGGGGGCTTCCACCGCCAAAAAGGCCACAACTCCCCAGCCGCCCCTCACCCCGTCCCAACAGACGAACCCGGGCCGAGGCCGCACCTCGGGCAGGGAGGGGAGCGCGGGCGGCGCCGCTCTCCGGAGGCAGCGCCCTCCCGGCTGCGCTGTGGGCCCGGGTGAGGACCCCTGGGTGGCCGCAGGGGTGACACCGCCGGGCCCGGGGCCGCGCTCCGTGCGGGGGCAGAGCGCGGCGGGGGAGCCCCGACGGGAGCCCCGGTCCCGCGGCGGCGGCGGGCACTGCCCCGCCCGGCCGGCCCGGCCCGTGCAAGCCGGGCTGCGGCTGCCACCTGCCGGCAGAGAGGGGAAATGCGCCTCCCGCCGCCCCCGACCCTTCCCGGGCTCCCCTCGCCGCCCCGGACCCTGCCCAGGGTTCCCCCGCCCCCGCCGGGGCCGCCGAGCTGCGGCGGGAGCAGCTTTTGTGTCTGGCGGCGAAAGGTGCCGGCTCCAACCCCTCCCTGGACGGGGACAGACCGGGACATCCGTGGCACGGACACCCCTTTCCCCTCCCAGCATGAAAGGCTCCTGCCCAAGACGTGAGTCATCACGAAACTGGGGGTACTGAAGAATCGGCATTACCCTTGCCGAGTTGCCCAGTGTCCACGGCACACACACGCCCCACTGGCAAAGCCTGTCCGGGAAAGGAATATAGAAGACAGAGAGGTGCCATGAATCAGCAGTGAGGGGCTCCATACCGGGCCTCCGGGGAGGGCAGGAAGTGTGTTGTGGGGGTACCCAGGAGGCTTCAGCGCTGCAGGTGTGTAGGCACAAAACTGCACTACTAGGGATTCACAGGGCCAAAGCTGGCACATGGAGACAGGCAGAACAAAAACTGGGACCTGGGAAAGTGATTCTGTCAGTGGAAGACCAAGGCTGTGGTGGTAGAGGAGGGGGACAGGTAGCACGACTGCAGCTCAACAAACCTGCTGTATCCAGACTGGCAAAGAGCTGCAAGACCCTCACATCACTCTGATTCTCCCAGGGAAGATGCTGGGACAGTCTGTGGGATGGGATAGGAGAGGGGTACTGGGATGGGACAATTCTTACCTGCTCTAGTGGGGCAGACCATCCATCCAAGTCCAAATATGTCCAGAGAGGAGGCAGTACTAATTTTGTCCTTGGCTACTTCTCATCTTTGCTTCGTCCGCCTATTCCTTAACTTAGAGGTACAGGGAATAAAGCATGACAGTGCTGGAGTGCTTCAGTATCAGTAATGGCGCTTTTCCTGGCATGGAGAAAGGCAGAAGCACGGCAAAGGTGAGGGAGGTGGTGGGAATTGCCCCACAAGCCACTGCTCACACCTCTACCTGCTCCTCAGCCCCTCTGGCTACTAGGTGGATGACAGAAACACAGCTGGAGGGGGCTGCAAAAGGGAGCAGACAGCGACGCTGGCTCTCAGCCCCCAGGTGCTCTTCCCTCTTCTTCCTCCCACTCCTCCCACTTTCCTCCAGCTGCTGGTGCTGCTCTTTCCTCCCACACAGCAGCTCTGAGAGGCTGGAGGAGACAGTAAGGAACAGGGGAAGCACTTGGAGGCTGACAGATGCCACTGCCTGGTTTCTTTCCAGAGCCCCATCTTCCTTCGACCTTCACTGTCTCCTCCATTTGCTCAGTGTTGGCAGCAATGCTTGCAGAGGTGGCTGAGCTGCATGATGTGAAGTGGGGCACAGAGA